GGGCCTTCACTGGTAACTTTCAGCAGGTAATAATCATAAGAATCATCTTCGTCCGCTGCAATGGTAATGATGCTGTCTTTGCCAACTAGATCAGCAACATGGAGGTGAACAGGCTCAGCCACTGGAGTTTCACTTTGGGCTCGTGTGGTAGCCGCAGATGCCTCCCTCTGTAAGATAATCTCCTGTAAGTCATCAACCAGTTCCTTGTTCTGGCAGTCATCGAAGTTGTCAAAGAGACACTCACCACAGTAACAGGATCGTTTCCTCACTAGGACCTTGCATTGCTCTGGGGTGGTAACTATGGAGTGCAATTTTCGGATGCCCTTAACAGTTTCAAACTTGCGTCCTTCTCGATTACGTAAAATTGCATCAGGACCCTGAGATGGAACATAAAAAAAAATTCTTCTGTTTAGGCTGACTGATTTGGATCGAGATGGAAATGATGACTGCGCAGGTTTGGAAAAATGACTTGTTAGATGGTCACACAGATCTTTGGCATTGGTTATGCTTGCTGTTCCACGTACTACTGCAAGACTGGCCTGTTGTTTTACATGGGAACCAGCAGCATCTTGCTCGCCTTTCGCATGGGATGTTTCAAAGAAATTTCTTTGAATTGTGAACCCAAAGTCGGCAAGTGAACAAGACAAATCCCCAATGCAGTGCCTCGACTTGTACTGTGCTGCACAGCCATCAGTAAACTCGTGCAGTTTGGTGATGTTCAGCTGCAGGTCATCAGTGAGATACTTTGCCACTAGCAACTGGGCGTGGTGCACAGAATCAAAGTCCTGTCCTGGATCATCACTGATCACAAAGATGTGTTCCTTGATGATGATGGGTTCTTCAGCAGTGCTTTCTTTTTCATCACATGCAGGTGCATGTCGAAACAGGACAGTGATGTGAAGACTTGCCTTGTTCACGTCGAAATACTGCGATTGGATTTCATTCTGCCCTCTGCAAGAGTAGCTCTCTGAGTAGTCGTGGATGCAGACGACATGTCCAAGAGGCAAGGTTTCTAGTAGTTCATCAAGCTGCTTTCTCTGCCAAATAGCCATGAACTGGTGGTAGGGGTAGTCCTCCAGCAGCTTAATGAAATACTGGAAAAGTTCCTTGGGACATGTTTCCTTCTGCACCAGCGCAATTTTCTTTTGTGGCTCTCCAGAAGCTGTCACCTTCCCAGTGAGGACATAATCAAAGCGCTTCCACTTGGTTGTGCCTTCCTCAGACTGCTCCTCTGGAAGAAGCTTAAAGAGGTGTGTGCCACATTCTTCACACGATCGATTGATGCAGCAAAGCCTGTGGAAGTCGCTACCCTCAGGTTTAGGACATAGTGACATTTCCACAGCTTCATTTAAAGAGACCAATGGTATATCAAGGGTAGGATTTTCATTCAGTGCACTTTTTCGAAACTTGAGACATTCATTGAATACAATCCGTGCTTCCTCATGTTTGCGACATAAACAAGACCTTCTGTCACGCTCCTTTGCCCCTTTAACAAAATATGGCTTTAGGCCCTCAAATTTTCTTTGAGAGATTTTAACATCGGGGTTGGCTGCACGAAAATTAAAGTAGACTTCACTTTGAGTCTGCTCCAGCACATGTTTGGGGTGCTCAATGTATAGTTTTGGGCCAATTCGTTTCCTGATGATATCCTTCTTGTCTCCTGTTGGTCTACTAGCCTCAAAAGTCCAATACAGGCAGACAGAGTTTTTCACTTCCTCAGAAAGTGCATCCACTCTGGGTTTCCTCTTCGTAAGTAGCCAACTCGGTTCATCTCCCTTAAGGACCTCACACCTGCGCTTTATTCCACGACTAACTGAACGTCTATCTAGAGAAACAAGCTTTGAAACAGTTGAAGTTAGCCTCTTTTCTTTCACTGTTTCTCCAAACGCGAGTGATTTGATTGCCCCAAATGCAGAGCGGCTTTCATTTTTATTGTTGCGCTTCAAATGCTTAATTCCACTAGTTAAGTCAGTCGTGATGGCTCTCAAAGCTTCCATTTCTTTTTCTTCTTCTGGTGATTTTATCAGACCTTTTTTCTCCAGTGCCTTTCTTGTTTGTGGACTTCGGACAAGCTTTTCTACAACTTCTAATTTTTTATTTGGTGTTGCCGGAAGCACTTTTCTTGTTTTGTCCACTGCTCGCTTTTTTGCCATCCGACTTTTGAACACGGCCATGTCCGGAGTTTCAACAGGATATGTTTCGTCTGTTTCAACTACCATTTCAGCAGCCTTTTTCTTATCCCGGTATTTCTTTGACCTTTCTCTGCTTTGGGCTCTCTTTTTTTCTACTTCCTCTGCTTTGTTTTGTCGAAATTTGCGAACTCTAGCTGTGCTTTTTCCATTCCCGTCTTTTGTAATTTTCCGCGATTGAGCACGTGTTTTCGAGGCCGTGGCTTTTTGTTGCTTTCTTCCCACAGCTTTCTGTATTAGCTCCTTTCTGTTTTTTTCGTAGTGGGCTTTTTTGATAGCTTTTTTCTTCTCCTTTTTTTCTTCTCTCCACCTTCTCATTAGTTCTGCTTTATTCTCACGCTCCATTGAAAATCGTCTCGAGTAAACTCACCTGGCGACCCGAGGGACATGCTTTGAAAAACACTTGTTCTTCTGCACGTGTCACGGCTATTTTCGGAGTTATTACATAACAAAAAGTTTCTGGAACCTTCTCGGGAGGTTACCAAGGCCCCATGTTGTTGTTTTCACGAAGGAATCGTTCAAAGTCATGGCTAAGTTTTCACGCTTTTTCGCTGCCTTTCGGTCCTTTCGCGCGAGAAAATCCTACATGTAATATGAAATTCATGAAGAAGCGTTTCATAAGGCTTGGGATTTCGAAAAACTCTTCTTGTGAGCTACCTACTTTATATTTTAACGTGGAAATGCTCGTGAACATTCGTTTTGAGATGAGAATCAAATGTGGCGGCAATCGGAAGGTTTCGGATGCATTCCGCGCATTTGGGAAGACGTTGACTTTGTGTGTTGTTTTGAATGGCGCATCAAATCATAGAGCGTTTCAAACGGCTTGGGATTCAGTCTTTTTCTTACTGCGTTGGAGCGAATGGCCCTAGATTGTTCATATTTTCAGGAAAGAGTCCTTAGAAAGTGAGAATGCCGTCAGGGTTACTATTTTTATTGATCGCCTCATTTTGTAACTTGTCTGGGAACCGAAATTTCAACTGCAGAAGCTGAGAGCAGTATCGTGACGCCATAACCATGAGGTACTTTTTTAGAATTTTAACCATACAGATCCTAGTTTTAGAAAATTTTAGTTATTAGGTTGAAAGTACGTTTGGTCTTTGTAATTATAAGATTTTTTTCAAAACAGAAATGCGTGTTTTGATATAGATATTCATAATCAAACAACGTTCCATCTGTGTAAATGTTACGCGTGACGGCCATATTTTTAATCAATTTTGTAGAACAAAAATTTCATAAAAAATAAGAGTGCAGTGAATTTTCACGAAACTTTGCGTATTTATTGACAAACATGTTACCTTTATTGGTGTGAAATCTTACAAACGTACCACTCATAATAAAGAAGATATTTGGGAAAACGTTTGTGTCACTCTGATTGTTCACGTGTATTGTGCTACTGATCTGAGCGTTTGGCATTTGTGGACAGTTTGCTCCATATTTCCTCATTTACTCTGGGAACAAGCACATTGTCACAATTACTCGGAGTCTTATATTTCTGGAGAATTTCTTTTCTCTTCTCCACGGAATACTCTGCATTAAATTTTCCATTTACTAAGTCAGCAAGACCACTTGCAATTGGTGGACCTGTGTCCTCTGAACAGCTCAGAAAGGAACTGATTTCAGACAACAAATTAGCGTTGTGAGAGTCTCCATCCGACATATCCCCAAGGACGATATCCTCTCTTTCATCGATATCATCTCCAAATAAACTTAAGGCATCTGCCTCACTTGCATCATGTTGATGCAGCATATTTGCTTTCTCTGAAGCATCGCTTTCATCCTTGTCTGCGAATATTATGTTAGCTTTCTATGAAGCCGTACCAGATTTCCTTCGTTTAGATGTTATGATGGCATCGTTAGGGGATGACCGTTCTTGCTTACGAGTTCTTGTAGCAAGTTGTTCCCTGAATCGATGCTAGCTTTCATACTATTTAATGCAGCAATGAGTGCACTAGACTATTGGTCACTTAGCTTTTCTGTGGCACAATCATCATCGTTGTTGGCAGCCATGTTCTTTTTGAGAAAAAATGCGGGAAACACAAGATGGCACAAAAAACCAATTCAAGACGGTACAAGGGCAAAAATATTACCTCTCTAGGACTCCTGTAAATCCGAGAAAGGAAACAAGGAATTCAGACGTTATAATGATACCACAAACTGCGCTAATAAATCGAATAACACATGGAGGGAAAAACCTCTTTGCCTGTTCAGTGCTAAAGCACGACACAACTGGTTGATGCATTGCGCTACGCTCTCTCTTACCAGTCCCTCACGACCTAGGCTGATGATGAAATAGACTTGTAATTTCTAGCTTAGCTTGAGTTATCACTCTTGTCCAATGCCTGGATTGGAGTGAAACAACAATTGGTATGAGACTGTTTTAATGGTGGAGTTAGGGTCACATATAATTTTCGTCCTGTTTTTCTCTTTCTTATATTTAGCCTGGAATTTTGAATAACTAATGTCTGTGCCATTATTTGAGATGGTTTATATTGATCCTTCTCATTTAAAATGCACCCTGTTTAAGCTGGAAAAGTTATGCTCAAGAAAAATCAACTTTTAGATGTATTTATTATCACAAGTCTAACTTAACATCCTTTAAACGAAATGTCTTGCTATAACCTCCACAGTAAATTTCAGAGCATTATTTTCACTGCCACAATGAAAGGACAGGGCCTTTCATTGCTAATGTGGGGCTCTGTTGATGAGCCAAGTTTGCATATGGTGCACAGTGCTAATGGGCAACTTATTATGTATAAGAAACCTATTGCAATGGACAGATCAGTATTGTTTGTTGATGTTTTTTATTAATAGTAACCTAGCAGTGATGCTGTTTAAGTTTGGTGCATATCTGCACAGTGGATCAGCAACAATGTTATCTGAATCCATACATTCATTGGCTGACATGTTGAACCAGGTATGGTAACTGACTGTATATGAACTAATCAAAATGTATTTATGTTTAACTGTGAGCTGCAATCCATGTGGAGATACTGAGACACTGTTTTGAAGATGGCTAATATAATCAAACAAGTAGAAATTTCTAAGCGAAAAATAAGAAGTTAATCATGAAAAAAAATGTATACAATAATGCATTGAACTTGTTTCCCTCGTCTTCACAATAAATGCAAAAAAAAATTAAAGTTTTTCTGATGTTAGTTGTTAAAATGGTTATGGTATTATGTATGTATTAAATATTGTATGCCAAGTTTGTCTGTCATGTTTTCTTGCTTCTTTGTCATGTTCTTGTTCTCTACATGCAGAACTCAGCATTTCAAATCTTGCCTCAGTTGTGTGGTTTTGTTGTCAAAGTTGAAGTAGGAAATAAAATAATTTTGTTTTTTGGCACAGAATTTTGTAAGTCTTCTAACCATTGTTATTAGGAAAATACAACCTGTATTTTATGATGAAATTTTAGGATGTTATGAGTTATTGTAATGAGGCTTATTCATTGAGTGAGGCAGTTTTTTTGTTTTGTTCATTGAAAGTGTTTGTTAGCTGTTGGAATCATGCAGTCAATCAAGAAACCTTCTCCAGATCATCCGTAAGTACAATGTAATAAATACTTCCTTGTAAACACAACTCTGATAAACACAAACATAACTCTGATCTACAGTTTGATGGAGGATTTTTGCCCTGTACTTTATCAGATAATTACATAATCTTGAAGCAGTTATTGGGGGGCACATAGCTTAATGGGAGAGCAGGTGGAATGCCTCAAGCCATATTCTCCTGCCAGTTTCAAATTAATTTTAGGAAGCTCTTTGTACCAAATCTAAGTCAGCCATCAGCTGTGTTTTGTATCCAAGTTTAAGCTTAAAAGCTTCATAAAAGTGAAATTAACAAACCCTGAGTTTTGTTTTAACTTTTAAACCTTATAGAATGTGGTTATCATCATTCTTAGTGTAATTAACAAGTTGAGTTGGCCTACCTTTTTGGTTAGTAACTTCTTGCCTGTGTTACAAGGTGTGGTCAAGTGTACTTGTTACAACTCATGTTTAGTTAATAAATCCATTTTTCAGGTATGGCTGGTCAAGAGCTCGTTATGTGTATTCACTTATCAGTGGTGTTGGAATTTTTTTCCTTGGAGCTGGTGTAACAATGTATCATGGTGTGTCAGGCCTGATGAATCCAGCTCCATTAGAGAATCTTACAATGGTCAGTTGTGAGGAATAAACAGTCACTATATCTAGCTATAAAATTTTCAGATCAACATCAACATCTGAGCAACTGCATACCCACATCCTAACCCAACACCAGTTAATTGATAACAAGCTAGGGTTAATGTTGGGTTAGGGGAGGGGTAGGTGCATAGTTGCTTAGATACTGACAATCTAAAGTGAACTGTCTGATACTTTTTCAACTTGCAAGCTTTTAGCTTCTATCTGGTTTCCTTGCAACTTTAGTCATTTTTCAAGATCTTGAACATTTGTAAATAAGTGTAATATTGAAATCCCTTAGTAATTATAAAGGATTGGTTTCTTGTAAAATATAGCTATATTTTTGGCTAATGAATTAATGATCAAAACAATTGTACTTAAAGTGTCACAGCAAATGGGGTGAGCAATTAGTGGGTTATAAGTGAGTATCAAAACAAGTTGAGCTAAGTTTGAACTTTGAGATGAACCAGTTTTAAAATGCAACTAATAGTTAGTGACTGGTCTAATTTTAACAGCTTAGTTGCCAAAGGATACTAAGTTTTGTACCAACAGTATGATGGATTCCAAATTCCATTATATCCTGGTAATTGTGATTAGCTAAATTAGTGAGGGTTTGCTGTGGTCATGCAGTGCCACAAAAGAGGGCCAACACATTTCAAGAGCTTTGAGTTATGGCTCAACATAATTCTTTGCAGCATAATTAATACACACGAAATTGAAGGGCATGGTCTCAAGAGGATATTCAGCCCACCAGATGACTGTTGTTTTTGGTATAACTTAATCCCAAGTGTTCCTTGTTGCATATTTTATCATCTAGGCATATACTATTCTTGCTGGATCATTTCTAGTGGAAGGAGGTTGGTTCTGTGCAATTATTTTAATTTTTTTTTATTTTAATAAAATAGATCTCTCTTCCCAGTATGTCTGGAAATTGTTGAAAACATAATTATTGTAATTTGAATATATCAACAAAGTTGAAATGGTAAATTGGCCACCGTTACAGTTATAAAAGCTGACGTTTCGAGCGTTAGCCCTCCAACGAAGGGATAACACTCAAAATGTCAGCTCGAAACGTCAGCTTTTATAACCTAACAGTGGCCAATTTACCATTTCAACTTTGTTGATATATTCAAATTATTTTGTTACCCCCACTGATGCAGCACCAAACAGTTTCCTTAGAAACTATCAGCCTTTATTCATAATTATTGTAAATTGATAGATTGTTTCATAATTGTTATATTCATAGTTAGTTTACAATTAACAATTATTCGCTGAAGGCGAGGTGAATATCATCGAATAATCCCTGAGACAAAGTCGAGGGGATTATTTGACAATATTCACTGAACCTGTGGCGAATAATTGTTTTAGTATAATTTCAGAGCTGAACAACAGAGAAATTTCTAAATTCATAACATTTTAGTAACATTTATTAACATTTTATTTTAACATTTTATTTAAACCGCGTGGAGCGGTTTATATAGCGTCATATAAGGAACCGCTCAACCAATCAGATTGCTGGAAACTCTTTGCTCAGCTCTGAAATTATACTAATTATTAATAAGGATATGCTCATTCATCTGATTGGTTATTGACAGTTCTGATCCAAGTGAACTATCTGATATGAAATAATTTGGATATATTAACAAAGTCGAAATGGTAAATTGGCCACCGTAACGATTACAGCAGCTTGTAATAGGATAGATCAAATTGGACAAATCAACAGCTCATGAAGATTAAACCGCGAGTGGTTTAATTAAGGTTCAAAGATTTAGATACCTAGCCCATGAAAACAAATCATTTAGGAAGAACCTTGTGTTGGTAGGGTGCCAAGCTGTAAACTGAAAACAAAACTGAATGAAGTAAACTTGTCAACCACTATTGATTTAGAAGCAAATCCAACTAACTACCAATGGTATGAGAACTTTGTCACTAGATGTCACTTCTACAAATACTCTGTGTGAACCGTAATCATTTTATTTTGTGAATAAATAATTATAAACAAAAACATCAATACTCAAATATTTTTCTCTATCTTTAGCAACTTTGTTGCTGGCCATAGGGCAAGTGCGGAAAAGTGCTCGGGAAAGCGGCATGTCCTTCAAAGAATATGGTAATGATATGCTATGACAACTAATGCTTGGTGTTACAATGCAGCTGACTGAGTGTGACAAAAGACAATGAAGTTGATGTTGACTTTAAATTGTTTTGAGTGATTGCTTGTCTGATGTTTTACTGTCTTGTTTTTCGACTATCTTAATCGTTTTCTTAAGGGGTTTTTACGTTGTGATCTCATCTAGATGAGAACTTAATCCTCAAAAGGACAATTGTTGTAACAAATTGAGTGGAAGTCTTCGTTTTAGCTGAGTAGCAAGTTGTCCTCAGTCCAAAAGGTTTATCAGTGAATCAATTGGTCAGTGTGATGATGACGAGTAGCACCACTTGTTAAGTTTGATAGCCTCTCATTATACAAAGTGCTGCCTTTTCTTGTGGTTAGTAAATGTAAGAAGTCTACTTATCAAATGCAAGCATATATTTCAACTACTCTCAGTCTACTGTTGCTGAACTTGTAGTGATACGGGGTAGAGATCCAAGTGCAGTAACGGTCCTGCTTGAGGATGGTGCTGCTGTTGCTGGGGTTATGCTGGCTACATGCTGCCTTGGTCTTACATCTTACACTGGAAGCTCTGTGTTTGATGCTTTGGGTTCAGTGATGATTGGAGGTACTGTATGAGAGATATCTTTGTAATAAGCTAGCTGAAAAACTCATACATACTTCTTGCTATTCAAATTTACCTTCTTTTTCCTATTAATCTCTACAAGAGAGACAGCAACAATAACAAGCCTTATCTGAGTAATAAAGTAAGAAATTAACAAGACTGACATGTAGCACTTGGGGAGTTTGATCCCATAAAAATTATTGTAAATTTTTTATTTAGTTGAGAAGAATGCAAAGGAAAAAATTAGTAGTCGAGATTTACGTGAATCAGAGATCTTGAAATTTATGTTGTCATTCATTATATTGTGCAGTTTACGCCTTACCTTCAGTTATTAATCTGTTATTTTTAGGGCTTCTTGGATCATTTGCAGTGTTCCTTATTGGTAGAAATGCTGACTTCCTGATTGGAAGGTACTGTCCCTAATTTTGGATCCACTCTTGATACCTATTTATCTTTCCTAACTTTTTATTTTTCATTTATAAGAGAAACGATAACCTCCTAAACAGTTAGCTTTTGTTTTTTCCAGGGTATTCTTCCTTAGACTATAAATTAAACCAAGTTTGATCCCCTTCCCTCTGAATCCCCAGCTTACCTACTTTTCCTTATAGTTTAAGTGTCATATTATTCTGTGTTTCTGTTAATCTGTTGATACCTCACTGTTTTACTTAATAGTCATTTTTTATAATATTTAAATAACCTTCACTTTTTTTTTAGATCTATCCCCATTAACAGAATCCAACAAATCATTGAAGTTTTAGAAAGTGATATTGTGGTCAGGTAGGTAGATGAACAGGGGTTCTTACCTAGTAACAGAACTGCCCAAGAACTGGGTTATAATGGGAGTGATCTGTCAAAGTGTTATCTTCTGCTTTTTTTACTTGTTTGATGATGAAATGACTGGTGCCTTAGTTTACTGATGTCATTTATGAAATAAATTTAAAAAATAGAGAAATAAATTTAAGAGGGCTCTGAATGTTATGAAACTTTGAAAAAGTTGAACTGAGGTACATGGGTTATCATTATAGCTACTAAGCACTATTGTAATGGACATTCCTGAGCTCGCTCGCAGGTGATGGCATCGTTGGCATAACCTGATACATGTCAGTCAACAAGATGCTTACAAGAAGTTTGCTTTTTATCGTATCATAAGGTCGTACCACTGTCTCTGGCAAGCCGCATCCAACTTGTTTCATATCTCAAATTTGTGTCGTGTGTCACTCTGTATTTCGACTATTTGTCGTGTCACTCTGAAGCAAGGAGCATTATTATGTGACCGAGGCAGGTTCTGATGTTGTTATTATTTTTGACTGCTGAAAAAGATTCTTTTTTGAAATCAAAATGGTTACTTGTGAACGGAAACCCCATGAAATAAAACTTTGCAACAAGCCTCTAATATTTGATTCCCTTTAGGTCGATACATGACGTGAAAGCCACTGAGATGGGTGAGTTTTATTTGGTTGTTTTTCTTTTTAAGAAAAATTAAAAACCTCATTTACTCACTAAGGACCTACGTTTTCCAGGAGCAGATGTAGTTCGTTTCAAGGCTGAAGTAAATTTTGATGGACGAGAAATAACTCGCTGTCATCTCAACAGAGTTGATATGGAACTCTTACTAGAGGTAAGTGTGGAGCACACAGAGTGGAGCACACAGAGTGCCAGCGGTCGAACCGCATAGGCCTGATCGAGCGCTAACTCTTGGAAATTGCGTTTAGCGATGAGGCAATATTCCTTCTTACACTCAAACCTAACCAACTTGTTGCCGATTCTTGGGCACAGGTAAAGCAAAACAACAGAGAAATTCTGCTGGTAAAATAATTTGGACAAAGAGAAAAATACGTGTACACCTTGAAAGTAACAGTAACAGAGATATCTTCGCCATCGGTTTCGCGTGTTATTTTTTCTTTCTCGATCCGCCATATAAACATTATTCTGTTTATTCAATATGCAGTATTCCATTTACACAGTGAAACTGCATTACATTTTTTAGGAACCTCACTAGAACAAAAATCGATACACTGATTGACTGTTCTTAGTGTATGAACTCCATGAATGAGTCTTCTTATTTATCATTGCGAGTTTCTATTCTTTTTTTCCAGGAGGTCCAACAACTGACTACAGTGCCTGAATTAGAACTGTTTCTCCTGGAACACGGAGAAGAAGTGATTGATATGTTGGGCCAACAAGTAGACAGAATTGAGAAAAATATCAAGGTATTGTATGTCTGTACCCAAAGGTGGTGACTCAGTAGTTCTTGATTAACTTCTCTACCCCCACCAAGATAGAACTTGGGTATATGTTGCGAACGATGTGGCCATTTCAAAAAATCATCTTTCGTTCCATGACACACTCTCTGGACTTGATTTAACTAACTTCAGACTAACAATTTAAAACAAAAGGCTTTGGAGGATTCTTGTTTTAAGCAGTACGTTGGCCATGTGTGATCAAATAAATGATGAACCGGAATGTTCAGAATCCGCCGCATATGAACGGCAGGTTATACAATTACTTTGTCAGATCAATGTAAATTAAACTTGTTTGCTACCTCTGCTCTTTTAGAAAAGAAATCCCGAAGTTCGTCATGTTGATTTGGAGATCCTGTGATGAAACGTGTTCCTTACCAGTTGGTCACCAAGGAGTTTCAAGCTCTTGGCTGTACAGCGTCTATAACTCCAACTTGTTAGCGGTAAATTGATGGAAGATTATCCCCGACAAGTTATTCATTCCCACTTAAGTGAGGACTTATCATAAACACACTGGAGTCAAAGTGTACGACAAAAAAACTCTCATCGCCAGGAAACTGTAAAAGTCTTCTCTCTCCTACAATTTTCATTACAAAGTGAATGAGAGACGTTTCCCAGTCTGGATTAAAACTACTCCAGTTGAAATCTGCAGTTTTGGGAGGCATAACGGTTGATGTGGCAGACTTTTGAATGTCACTGTCAGGACAATTTATGAAGAGATTTCAAAGTGGCAGCATCAAGTTCCGTTACCATTTCATTTTCAAGTGAAATACTCAAAGACAATAGCCATTTTTCGATTTTTATTTTCCTAACCACTGATTACCTTGTCTGTCATATGAATTAAATTAAATGTAAGAGTATAATTAGAATAAAGTTACGTTTTTGGTGGCCTGTGATCACCTTCACATTTGGTGAGAGTGACGATAAAGAGATGCCAGAGTCGATCAATTTACAGATGACAAGGCGTGAATTGGAACTAAAGTTAATATAAACTAAACCTTGACTGTCCTCGTTCTTGTACAAATTTCTTGATATTCGTTTGTTTGAACTTCAAGGTGGTTCTTAGTCCCTCCAACACTTTTCTCTGAACGATTTTTCCATATTCAGCGATAAAGATTTAAGGTCCTCTGACGCATCTTTGATTAACGTGTTCTCAACCTGTTCTGAGCCACTAATACGCTCACCTTATAGCCACCAGACCATCCAGTTGAAAAGGGAAGTAACTTAATGCACCATCTACTCACTGAAAACGTTATAAGAAACGGGGTGAAAGGAAAGTAGTTTTTGAAAATATGCGGTGCTTCGTTCTGCTTTCTCGCGGACAGCCGATCGAGCTTAGGAAAATTTTTCTTTACGTGAGGAATAATCATCTCTCGCGGTAAGCTTTCCATAGTGTCTGTTTCGGAAGAGGATGTGTTAAATTTCAATATCTAGAAAATTGTGTTTCAGTAGCTCAGATCAACGTTGGTGTATTAAAACAGGACTCTGTTCCTAAGATGGATAACCTATAGTAAACCTTCACAACAACATGTTTATAATCACCGCCGGAGCAGCGTCAGTAGGCCTCATCGCCGAATGGGCCACCATTGACTTCAGTAGAGAAAGTTCCAATTTTCATCTGAGGCGGACAGGTTTATCTTTTATTACAGTTCTCTGCACTTTTTGTATACAGGTGACATACTATATACAACTTTTAAATATCGAATTATATACCACTTTAAGTTAAAAACAACCATTTTATTTATAACAAGGACTACGCGCTTTCTCTGATGCCTGCTTCGGTTTTAAGGGACTAGAACAATCCGGCCTGCACTGTTATCATTAATTCTCAGTTCTAATCCTCTATGAGAGAGAATGACCTTGACTCCGGGCTCTGTATGCGAAACACAGACTGGTTGAATTTGCTTTTCTTGATTAGGCTGCCCATCAAATTGCACTGTGATGGAGCTCTCTTTCTTTCATCATTAAACCCTTACAGAAACACAAAAACGCTTAGTTTAGTACTTTAAAAGATCCACTCAAGATGAGCAGGGGCGCACTGCAATGCCATAAAGTGATGGACAAATGAACAAACAACTCAAGAAAGTGGATCTGTGTTGAAATTTTCACGTCACGTGGACCTTTCCTTACAATGGACGAAATTCTTTACTTCTCGCTTTGTTCAAGAAAGTTTTGTACTCAGTTAATTGCGGACAATGCAAGGACGATGTTTTCTTTTCCTTGAAACAAATTGTCTTCATGTCTTCAAAACTATATTTGCGGCAGTGACCTAACCCAAGCATAACGAGATTTTCGCTGGCTTATGCTCCAACTGAAACATAGTGAACCAATAATCACTGTCAAGATAACGCGGTGTGACTGATATTAAAACTCGTGTAGCAGATAGAATAACGGAAAATAACTGAGTGCGACAAAGTGTTCCTCACCTGCCGCAGAGTTGCAAGCTGCTGTAGAATCATCTCTTGACGCGCTGTCGGTACACGGTCTGGAGAGGCCTACATGATACAAAGTGTACGTTTCTGTCATTATTTCTAAAAGACGCATGGACACATAAACGAAAAGGAAACTATGACATCGCTCCAAGAAATAGTCCAGCTCCTAATACACGTAGGTTTAGGGAGAGTCGTGCCTACCCTTTAAGTTCAAATATAAATATAAAACTTTGCAATCTTTAGATGGGCTATGACGTGAGACACTGTATAGTCACGACCGACTTACGTCACTTGAGTCTTACAGCCAATAACATCACGGCAAAACCAACCGATCATTTTACACGAACTGGAAAAAGAACATTCTACTGACAACAATCATTCACTTGACTCTGATGATGACTTCCGCACAGGTTGTCGAAACGTCAGTCACTACCACCGACAACAGTCCTTCTCAGGACTACACTCACCCGGACGATCAGACTACACCTTTACACACTGTATAGTGCGTGCCAAGTCAAAATGATAATAAGCCACACCCAATCAGTCATAATGACGATAAGCCACACCCAATCTAAAGGTATTTTTGTCAAGTCAATAGTCGATTTTACAGTTGTGTGCTTGGTTGCCAAGCCTTTGAATGGGAGTGAGGCTGAGGGTGACCTTGTTATGATACAAACCTTGCTACCTTTCAAATGTAAATCACTTTATCATGCTAACTAGATACAGGTTTCTATCATGACAAGGTCACCTTCAGCCTCACTCCAAATCAAAGGCTTGGCAACTAAGTACACAACTGTAAAATGGGCTATTTTACTCTAGAGGTGGCTTCAATATCACGTGTTCCATTAACTTTAATTTTGAACGCCTCTCGTACTTTCCATAATAGGACTTAAATATATACGTAACTGAGCTTCATAATGACTCATCTTTGAAAGTTGTTGGGTATTTTTTTTCTACCATTACTAACAGTCGCGGTGAAGGCAAACCTCACCTGAATTGGATCAATGCCGGCATTTTCGTTTTGTATTTTTGTTTGGTGTCCTTTGACATCACGCTTTCCGGCTTCTATAGAATGTTGTTGAACCATTTCATGTCTACTTCTAGGGGCAACTGACGATTTTTTTCCGATCTTTTCATTTTTAACAGTCTGCCGACCCAGGACAGCTTGGTTCGTTGTTGTTCGAGAAGTCACGGCAGGTTGAGCTTTCTTGTCTGTTTGTTGATTTCTGTTCATAGAGTTTTGATCTTTAAGAGAACTAACATGATCAGCCTGTGCCGAGGGTGGAGTGTATGGAACTGGATGGAATGTAGCACTGGCAGTGCGGGTGTAAGGTATCATAAAGGCATCCTCCATAGGACTAGCTAGCTCTACTGCTGCTGCACCATCCTCCTGTCCACCTGCTATAGTTTCTACTGAACCCTGTCGCTTGTTCCGTGGCTTAAGTGTCTGTTTTTTCCTCTGTCCTCTTTCTGATTGTGACCGCGTAGTGACGTGAGCCGCTCCTTTAGCACGTGACGGAGACGTTTTTTTCGTTTGAGTCTTTGCCTGAGGATTGTTCGGTACAAACGTAACAGGAGATGAACTGATCCATTCTGATTCTAATGAGGCGTTTAAACTCAATTGTCTAAACTCCGATTCAAATGAAGCATTTTTCTGATCTGTCGAAGCAATGACTATGTCATTCGTCTTTGCAGGTAATTCTTTGTGTTGCGGGCTTAACTGGCTGTGTTCTGGTCTAGGTGAAACAGATGCGGTATCAAGATAAGAAGTATCTGTAGAAGAGTGTTGTTGCCTCAAGGCCAAGCCAGCTACAAAGATCAATACAAAAAAGTCATCATTCAAAACTCACCACACTTACAAGTAAAAACAATTATAACTAACAATTGAACCACACCGCTAGAAATGCTTGGTTCGATATGTAGCAGTGTTGCTGATTCACGCATTCCTTCTTTAAGACTTCTTTCAGATCAAATCGTAGATTAAAAACAATTTCTCTTACAAACGGAAACAAGAAAAGTGGACCAAAATCCGATGGATAAAAATAACTGAAAACGTCAACCAAGGAAACTATTACGGCTTTGTTCATATTTGAACGTACAAAAGATTATCTGCTACTTATCTTTCTCGTAATATTATTGGATATTTCCAGGATTGGCTACATCTATAAACAGCATGTAAGGAGGTAAAAAGTAAATAAATGATAAACTGAACATACGAGTTTTCAATCCAGACACATCGTGACCGCGCATTTCCAATTGTTGGATTCTTTTGGTAGCTTTTTCCTAACGGTTTTATAACAAAGTAACTCTTATCAGGATTAAGTTCAATGTGTAAGAGGTTTTCAGTCGAGGATCTATTAATAGCGTTTAGAAATGTACACATTTGTTGCGTTTTGCGGGAAAAGTTGTAACTGGTGATAGCTTTTTAGTGTACCTATGGAAATTTCGTTTCAGGTGAAAACGATTTACAGGACGATTCCTAGGCAGTTATGGTTTTGTTCACAAACAAAGAGACTTCCTGAAGGAAAACAACGATAAACCATAGTTAGAGAGGAATCCAATTGTTTCAGGCTGTATGTAAATATTACAACTGACAAAAAAAAAGTGTTGATCACATTAAAACTTTTCACACTGAGTATTAAGGCGACAATCAAATCAAAAATACTAATCTGAGATAAATTTGTGTGATGTCATATTCATCACGAATTTCCCCAAAAGGCTCCAGTGGCCCTCATAACAAAATCTGTCGTGTTTCTCCGATATCGGACAGCGAAGTTTTTTTTTCGTAACTGAAGTTTCCCTTATACCACCGAAGGGCTGTTTGATTTGGAGGGTACCACTGCAATAGTAATTCAGGGAATACCTGTTGAGCTGTCTCGTATGCTTGTAAAATACTTAATTGTAACGCCTCTGCTCGACGCTTTGCTTCATTCTAGAAGGCAATGAAAATAGCAAGAACTCATTGATTTGAACATATGAGACAAAATTAGAAAATTGATGAAAAAGACGAAGAAAGCAGTGCTACAGGGCGACCGTCACGCTCCAGTATTGAATTAATGAAAAGTAAATTATGCATAAATATTGACCTCTTTTTCCTCTCGCTGTTTTAGCTCCTCTTCATACTGTTTTTTCATTCTTTCTCGCTCCATCATCAGCGTCCTTTCTTTCTCAGCCTCGTCTTTCAGTCTCCTTTCTTTTTCTTGCTGTTTAAGGCGCCTTTTTTCTTCTACTTGTTCTTTTATTGCACGCTGTAAACATTCCAGTAAGCACATTTAGGCGCATAGGAACAATCTACTAATCCTGACAGAGACTTTAAGTCTGTCAGGCTAAGTCTATTGTCAATACTAAAATATAAGCTGTCTGAACACATAACGCCTCCTCATTTGTAACTTAGACTAATAGCATAAAATTAATGGCTTAAAGTGATGCTCTTAGAGGGCAGATAAATGTAATGTGAAGCGTCCTAATATTGTTACATCCCTGCCAGTGGTAAAGCAATGAGACCATGAAAATTAACAAATTAACAAATTAACACTAGGAATCGAAGTTGGTCAAGCCACAAAAGAAACTCTCTCAAGTATACCACAGGCAACGAAATCACATAAGTCAGCATTTGCATGATATTTGTATGCAATACAATGTAAAAAAGGATTCATCCGTTGTACGTGAACAGGAAAATCTTTCAAATCAGTTCAGCAGTACCTGATGCTCAAGTGTTTTCAGCCTCTTTCTCTCCATTTCATCGTGGTTCACCTCAACTAAACTCTGCAATCCTTGACCACGGCCATGAGGATTGCCAGCCCTGTAAAACGTAACATATTTTCCTTCCTTTAGAACAAAAATAGCTCCTTAATATTACTTCGTCAAATGAGTACGGCAACTTTTTCCTTCAGTCGAATGAACTCATTGTTGAATTGAGCAGTACCTGAAACTACTGTCTTGTGCAGTAGCAGAAGCTGCTTCAATATCAACATGCGATTGCCGTGTTGTGGCAGTTGTAGTATTATTTACTTCAAAAGCAGTAGCTGCCGGAGGGGACTCATTTGATAACACTGCTGTATGTTTCCACCTTTCTTCCCTGACTTCCTGTTGGCAAATAGAAACACAAATAGAAACACAGTCCTGAGTCAGATTTGAAAGTTACAAGAGACGAATGAAAATGAACCAAAATTATAACTTGCAGTGATAAACTTTCTTCCTTTGGTGGAGGAAGGGTTGTTCGAATGGTGGATAACGCGATTCATTTGATAACTATCTATTCATTGGAAAAATTTCTATCCATTGGATAGTGTTAACTGCCATTGAAACAACTGGGCCCAAGTGTACATGTGAATAGGCAAGAGCCGGGATCTTAGGTTACACGAACATAATAATGATTGGTTGATTGCAGTCTCTGGGTTTACTAAATGAAAAGAAAACATTTAACTCAATAAACATTAACACAATGAAAAATTGTCATAAATTGAACCTTTCTTGTTTCTTGGTGGTCTAATGCCCCTAAATTCAACTAACAGAATTAAAAAAAAGTATTATTTGCATATAGGGGTCAGATAGAGCTCAGGCCATGTCCAGAAATGTGTCCTTGAGCATGGTGGGTCTCCACATAAGAAATGTGAGAATGAGAGTTGACATGACCTTCTACGATGAGTTAAGATGCCAGATATACATCTCCCACTCGTGTAATGAAAGTTGATATGACCTTCTACGATGAGTTAAGACGCCAGATATACATCTCCCACTCATGTAACGAGACACAATCAACATGATATCAATGACAAATATCATTTTCTAGATATGGCTTAGTTATTAACAGTGTCAGCATTCCATGATTAGGCAAGATATTCTGCCTTCATAGCAGAACTTTATATAAATAAGAGAATCATACATTGGGCAAGAAAAAGCTATTACCTTCTGCATTTGCTGCTGCTTTTCCTGAGCCTGTCTCTCTTTCTTTTCTTTGATCTGTTGTTCTGTATAAGATATAAAATGACAGTTATATTAAAACCACCATTCATAATTAAGCAGCATTAAATCAAAATCAAAAGCTGCAGTTTTAAAAAATTCTTCAGATAGACCATCAAGAAAAGTAAATACATTCAGCCATCATTCTGCCCTCACCAAGATCTTGGAGCCACTTTTTCTTTCCATCAATTTTAGACTGATATTCTTCATACTGTACAACTCCGGGAGCCTTATCATAAGAAATATATACACACAATGAGACATCAGTGAAGATGAACAAGTGCATTGTAGCTGGTTAACAGAAGGTATGAATTGGAATGTCTTAAATAACCAACGGGCTGCACACTGGTTAGAAAAAAAAAAAAAACACATTAAAAGTAGGATTCTTACACCAATGGCAAATGAACTCCTCATGGCCACAGGAGTAGCTGTGGTGATAAGGTCATGCGCATTATAGCTGTCTGCTGGCGTCTTTGTCTTCATGCCACTGTCAAGCAATGAAGCTAATACAACATTGTCTTCATTCTTGGAGGTCAAGTCCTATAACAAGTTAAAACAGTCTTGTAAAATTGAACGTTGTGACCCCATAGGCCTATGCATTTTTATGTCAGAATACACAATTTCATCCACAAGCCTCTCATTCAAGATGCAGAGTGTCAAATTCTAATAGGAAATTATTCTCAGAGCACTGAAATCAAAAGAATAACCTTGCAAAAACAACAGCATAAAAAGAAAAAGAAAGACATAATTTGAGTATTTCAGTAAAGAGAAGCTTTGGGATAAATTTTTAGTATATGACATCATCATGTCTAGGAACTACTGATATCAAATTCATTTAACCAATTCATACTCTTATTATTCTCAATCTATACATTAAAAAGTGTCAATTAAAATCTTCAAATCAGTATAGATTGAAACCATTTTGTGCAGCCTTAATGTTCCTTTACCTGATGCATTTTCTTGTAGTCAGCCACAATATTTCCAGATTGAGTTCTTACTGGAGCACCTCCTCCTGGTCTGCCCCATGGATTATATTCTTTAAATTCATCATCCTTATCCTTTATTGACAGAAGAGCACAAATAATCACTCGCTTTTCAATTATTTCAATAATTTGATACAATCTGGCCGAGTAACAAAAAACAGTAGTCACAGCACATAATAAAATGATTACAACCAAGAAACTCAGAGAGTGACACTACCAAGAAAATTGCACAGATAAGGTGATTAAAGGATTCTATTCATTTACTGATGATAAAGACCATTGTGATCCAAGGAACATAATTTGATTAAAGAATGATAGGGAGATAATACAAATGAATTGAATTACTGTAACATACATCTAGTTCTAATAATAACTAAAAATAGGTATGTTATTGATGATGATGATCAAGATTACTTGTCATCATGAACTAGTCCCTTAGTTTAATTTTATCCCTGACATATTTCATTCTAATAGTGGCAACTTACCAGTAACTTTCTTCTAGCTTTTAAATCCTGCTTAAGGGCTACTTGCTCATCTATCATTATAATAAGAGGACATTATTTTACAATTTAAAACACTTTTTTCAAACATATCCACCCAACAAACCAAGCTATTTGGTATACACTTTCCATATTTCCCAAAACTTTGCAACCACTTCTTATTGCATCATATCATAGTGACTGATTGTGGAAATTAGTCCTGGACAGCGTGGGTTTTGCTGTAATTCACCATGTGATTGGTCTATATGACACATGCCACTTTGTATATGTGCAGGATCCTTCGCTGTAAAGCACTATTTAAGCAATAGTGAAAATCAGACCTGAAAAAAATTCAGGCCTGTACGGGATTCGAACCACTGACCTCTGGCGACTTGGCTAGTCAAGATCAAATGGGTAAACATGTCCGTAAGTAAAAATTCCTTTTATGCAGTGAACATTTTGAAAAGGAATGCTTTTCCAAGTCATATGCTGGCCGGAAAGTCATCCTCAATTGAGCATCTTTCCTTTGGAGCTTCCTTTTGGTTTTCTGTTCGGAGAAACTGAATATTGTCGGAACTGAGTCTGACTTAAGACTTACTTTCCAGCCAGCATGTGACTTGGAAAAGCCTTCCTTTTCAAAATGTTCACTGCATAAAAGGAATTTTTACTTACGGACATGTTTACCCATTTGATCTTGACTAGCCAAGTCGCCGGAAGTTTCTTGTCGTTCAGTGGCAGTGAATGCCACGAAAGATGCTTGCAATTTGTGGTTTATCGCTCCGGTTGTTACATCCAAATGCAATACAATGTCTAACCATTGCTATCTTTGCCTTTTGAAAGTTTCAGACTGTCCATAAAAGTAAAAAAATAGTGTAAAATGTGAGTTGTTTTGAAATATACAGTGATACCTTTGATTATCTGCGAAGCCTTTGGCCCAAGTGCCTCAATTCCGTGCATATTTTAACGAAACCGCTTTCACGCGGGCTCAGATCAAATATCCGCCATTGCATTTATAATTAGTGACTGGCATTTTTCCATGTTCAATGAAGTTTGCTTGTTTTGCTTTTATCCCATAATCAATATTTTTTTTATAGGCTCCTCATGACATAATTTTTCCTTGGCTCTGACAGTGTTAACTTTGCTTATGGTTTGATCACACTTGACTAAAATGTGTTCTAGTTACATGCTTCAAAATGCAACAGTAACTGATACCAAACAAGTTATGTAATGCCATGTTTTAACTTTATTACTAACTGCACCTAACTCCTTCTTCCACAGATAATTTTTGCTGAGGGTATTGACCTACACAGAAAAGGAAAAATTGTAATAATATATGGATGAAAGCCAGGCTGACTACTCCAACTGCACAGTGACAAATAATCTTCTCTGGAATGAGAGATCAAGTTCAGAGCACCAAGCTCACCTTTTTTTAAGGTGCCATTTCACAACCTAGAATCAGAAAATGGTCACCAGAGGAAAGGAGGAAGAAATATTTCTGAACATGATTGATATTCAATGAAATTTTTTCCAACTTATGTTATAAACATATTAAGTAATGTAAACCTTACAGCCTTCTTCACCTCCACTATGCATGTACAGCTGGCCAAATTGGCAGTGCTCTGATCCAAAAACAGAAATAAAAATAATCACCATGTACTTACCTGTCCCTGGTTTTCAGAAATATCGTCTTTGATTTTGGATTCTGGTTTCTGTTCTACTCTCCTATTACAAAATTTATTGAGATACATTTACACAGACTTATGGTAACCACATTAAAAAACAAGTTACTTTCCATTACAGAATATCCATGAGATATTTAGCTAATAATTTCTTAGATCCACCTTGAGGCTCTTTGTAACTCAGGAACATTTATATTTCAATACTCATGACCAGTAATCAATCAATCACTTTTTAAGTTCAATTGTTTTTTGGTCCAAATATAAAACAACAATTAATGAGATATCCTTAGCTGCCATGCCTTCAAATAGACAGCTATTTTGAGGCAAAGTGTACTCAGTCTGGTCATTCTTAAGCAAGTTATTATATTTACATATCCATTTACATGCATAGTTGGTATCTGGTCACTATGCTCCATAGTCAGTTTGCTCCGACCAAAAGTTAGATTGCTCCAAAAAAAGTTACTTTACCCCATACAATGGAGCAATGGATACAATGGTATATGGAGCAAAGTAACTTTTGGTTGGAGCGACCTGACTTAGAGTAATCTAACAATGGAGCTAGGTGACCATAACCCGTATAGTCACACATTTATAAATACTGGTATAAAAGATCAAATTGAAGTGCTTGGGATCTACTTATACCTTTTTTCAGAGTCCCTCATCAATGCCTGATGAACTGCAATTTGTTCAACAGCAATTTCCCCTGACCCTGTTACCAAATTAAATATAAATCAGTTCATGTATCTAAATGAATTGTTGTTGTAAAGTAACTTGGCGAGGGGAACATCCTTAAATGTTCAAATTAGAAAAGTTTAATTAAATAACAAATAAACATTTTACATGTCGTGCAACCACCATGCTCTATCAACGCCAATAGTTATACAACTGAAGAGGAGGTGGCTGGTGGTGGAATAGTTGAATAGCTGAAAATTAGTACATAGTAAAACGATGAGATAACAAAGCACACAGGAATGAAATTAGTCCTGCTATGATTTTGGGCACAAATCCTGTCCCAGTTGCTCACAGGTGAATAGCAAAGGATACCGGTACATTCTGAGTTCAAGTGGCCAACCAGAGCACACCTTATTTACCAACAAAGAAATAAAGTGCATAATAAAGTGCTATCAGTGCTGCAGCATGACAAGGACAAAAAAAAACAAAACCCCTTTACCTCTCCATAGATCACAAAAATTAATTCAACAGATAATGTTTGCAGCAAACAGACTGACCTGTGTATACATTCTCGAGATCTGCAACAGGCACATGTTGAGTGTCTGAAGATTTCAGAGATGACAGAATTCGTGACAACTGGTCCTTTGTCAAATAGCTAGCAACTGCAGAAGGTTCTTCTTTTCTTATACTTTCACTTTTTGTTAGTTTGGCTTCTCTAACAGCATTTTTCTGTGGCTTGAATGAGGATTTGGTTTTGCCATCTTCTTTAGAGCTGTTTGTCTTCAGAGGGAGAGTGCGAGCTTGAGATGTTCTTCCTGAAAAACCTTTTGAGCTTTGTCTCCCCTTAAAAAAATATCAAAAATCAAGCAGGAGCAGATTAATTCTGCCAAGATCTGTAATCTTAATGAAAGATGATGTTACATGCTCCTTTAACAGTTAGCAAGTCTTGCCAAAAACATGAAAGCTTGAGACATAAGCATCTCTGCTCTACCAGCAAATGAACTTTGTTTGAGTCCTTAGAAATACTAAAAATCTATGAACTAAACACATACCAGACAGCAGTTTTCACGTATTCATATTACTACGACAAGCTTCCAGTATTTTTTAATAGCTTTTTTATAACCAATGATAACTTACATTCTTACAATACACGAATAGCGTCACAGGCACATATTGAATTTAATAGAACAAATTATGGTAAATTTTCTATGAGATATAGGGGAGCTATTGTATGGAACAGTCTACCGAGTGAGATTAGAAACAAATTCTTACAATCTTTTCAAAAAATTGTTAAAGCTGTATGTTCAAAAAAATGATTTGTATTAGATGTATTTGAGTTTCTATCAGCATGTTGAGAATATAAAATAATTATGTATTTGCAAATCTGTGATCAATAAGAAAGACATTAATATCTGCCATCCATTATTAGTAAACTATTTTAAATGATACTATAATTAAATGGGTATCTTTAAAAAGCTCAGCAGAGCTTGTTAGATCTCCTGCTGTATCTTGTTTATCATGTAGTATGTATTATGTGATGTAATGAACTATTGAAGGTGA